ACTACTCCAGCTGCTTCTCCAGTGTTTGTGGTCATTGACAAAAACAGGTCACTGGTTTCTATCCTCTGGAAGCCTCAGCCCCTGTTGGCTTTGTCATTCCTCTGGTTGCTCCCTGACTCCAAACTCGCTTTGTCTGGAGGAGGATGGCAGGGGCTACCTTTTTCTGTTTAGCTTACATCTTCTTATAGTCTTAGATTAAGGAGCACTTTTATATAGGGTTAAACTAGTCCATCCAAAAGCGGTAGCCACTGCCAAGGAAGGAAAGGGGGATGAAGGCAGCAGTGAGGAGCCAAGCAGCAGCCCCCTGCCCTGGCTTGGCAGCAGCAGGTATCTTACACCATGGGGTCTGTGTCCGCCATGCAGATGCAAGTGAATGGATGTGCAGGCTGCAAGGCAGGAAGGAAAGCAGAAGAAAGAGTGGTCCGTAATAAACAAAGATCTTGGCTAAATATCCTGGCTGGAGAATTGGGATACAAAGGAATTGGAAAGAGGCCATAAAGCTTTTCCAGGCTTCACTTGAGAAAAGCAGGATAAAGCTGGGGCAGGTAGAGCAGCAGCCCACCTGCACTGTGTCAGCATATTCCAGCAGGAGAGTGAGGCCAGGATTGCTGAGTGGCCTCAGATGTTGCATTAAACTTTATGGAAAGCTTTTCTGAGTCGTTTCCCTCTGGACCTGTATTTAATGATGCATTTTAGCATTAAATTCTGGCCTGTCGTTTAATGAAGGAAAACAGTTTTGCTAGCCAAAACCAGCAGTATTTTCACTAAACAGCAGGTGCTGCTCTTAAGATAGGAAAAGTCTGTTGCATCTGCTGGTCTTGCAGGAATGGGGCACTGCACCAGAGCCAAACTCAGAGGCAAGGAAGCGTAACTGTTCTACCTCTGCTTCAGGAGCTGGTGTCAGTGGCTGTTCTGATAGAGCCACTGGCAGGGGAAGAACGACCCCATGAGCAGAGATGGCAATTTGGATAGAGGTAAGCAAGAGGAGCAGGAATACTTCAGAAGATTGAGGTAGGATCGCTGCAGGCTTGTATCTCTTTGGCTTTCCCAGTTCTGTACTGTTTTCTTTAGTTTTAGCTCACATCCTCTCTCTCTCTATCACTTGTCCTTATACCTCCAAAAGACCCTTTATTCTTCTAGTGTTCTGGTCTTTGTGCAGTTGTTTCCCCTCTCTTAGCTTCTCTGATCCTCCACCGCTCTTTTCTGGATTAAGACCTCAATTCTCTGCAGCTGTGCCATTGGGAGCACAGCTTAAAGTCACCGCAAAGGCCAGGCAGCACATTTAAATGAGAAATGGAGATGGTTGTAGAGATAAGGGCAAGTCTGAGAGTACCTGTGGAAGTAGGCAACAGGCAGAAGGAGTTGATTCCAGGGGCAGTTAATGAACAAGGGAGCACAGAAGGCAGACTCCTGTTGTATGGCAAAGCGTGTCAATTTGTTGTTTTTGTCCGATGGTAATGTGGCCACCCCCTCTGTTGTACAGTAGTTTTTCTCTTTTCAGAGGAGTAGGCAGGAGAAGCAGCTGTATTTTTGTATTTGTTTTTAGCAGCTCTGGTGAATCTGGGGGCTCAAGCTGCAGTCGCTGCTGGCTGCAGAGCAGAGGGGGCTGTGGCTGCCGTGCAGTGAGCACAGCCTATGCACCTTGGGGGGAATAGTGGAGAGCAGCCCCCCATCCTGCCCCCAGCTGTTATTTAATGCTCAAATGACCGTCGCAAATGCCTGGGGAAAGGGCTGCGTGTGAAATAATGATGTTGGAAATCTATTTTAAAAGAAAAACCTGTAAATGTTCTTTTTATTAGATAGTGGAGCTAATTTATCCTGTATTCCCTACTGTAATGCTTTTTTATATTGAAAGGAATTTTTTTTGGTAATATAAAGCAGAACACAAGGCTGAAACACTCCACGGTTTTTGTGTGCGTTTCTTAAAAAAATTTAAAAAAAAGTAAAAAATAAAAGAAAGATATTGTGACAGTGAAGTGAAACGGCTTTAATTTTCACTATTTGCTTGGTGTTAAGTACAGTCACTTTCTTACCAAAGGAAAAAGAATAAAGTCAGTTACAGCAGCCAAAATGAGGTATAAACTCAAGTGTCCCATTCTCCCCTTCCCCCCAAGTAAAAACCCTTGACCAGAAAGAATTGGCCAGCTTAGGACAGACAGACAGACAGCCTCTCTTTTGTCACCAGCTCCAGTTTGCCAGATGGTGGTTAGGCGTAAATAAGGCGATGCAGAGAGTTCTGTAAATGTAAGCTTTCTTCACCCTCAAAAGCGAGGGCTCGAGGAATGCAAGGCTTTGGTTCTCCCCCATGGAACAGGGTCAGTCCTGCCTGTGCCTGCTCAGAGCACAGCCCTTGGAGAGCATGGCCTGCAGCCCTGCCTGGCGCTACATACATGCAAGCAGGTGAATTGCAAACTGTCCCTGGGGAGATGACGTCAGTCCAAAGCTTTTCTCACACTTTAACAGATAAGGAAACTGAGGCCAACGGAGATCTTCTCTCAGCACATCAGAGCCTGAAGTGATGCCTCAGGCTTTTGATCCCAAGTTATGTACTCAGCTGTCACCTGCAGCCATGATCCCAGCGCTGCTATCCTTAGGGATGCAGTACAAAAGCTTCAGCATTCCCTTCCCTTTTTCCCCCCAGTCTTTATCGCTGAAGACAAACAACCACAGTTGTTTTCTGGCAGCACTGCAAGTAGACATCAAATGGCAAAACCAGAAGTGGCTCACTGTTCTAAGTCTTGAAGAGACAACAAGGAACTAAAGAAGAATCTGACCTCATTTGATGTAAAGCTCCCATTGGAGAGCTTTCACGGTGCCCCTATCTTCTTTGACCATCAAGAAGTTTTAAGAAAGCTGCTCTCACATACATAGTGCACTGACTCGTTTCTCTCACCTCCTAGTTGGCATTTCCAGGTACCCTGATCAGGCAGCCAGCCACAGCCCCAAAGTCACAACGCAACTAAGATCCTCGGTCTGCTGCCAAAGTGAAGGGGAGAGGACAGCATGAAGAAAGCCCTCCATTTCCTCTTCTGTAAGATTGCTCTTAGCTTGGTCAGTTTTACTTGTTTTTTTTTTTTTTTTTTTCCCTAGAACTGCTATTTCCCACCCCCTAAACCCAACAATCAGTCTGGGTATACATTCATGTGACCCCAAAACACAAAGACTCACGCTTCACTTACCTATACCAACAACTGCAGCTCTGGGCTGCATGCACTGTGCTGCCCATGCGGCCAGTGTGCAGGGTGGGAGCAGCAGCCATGGCTGCTGCCTTCTAGCTCTGCTGCCAGCTCTGTGATGCCCTCAGGGTTGTATGTCATCATTTCTTGCCTCACAGGGAGATGATCTCCCTCCAGAGCCTAACACTTCCACCTGAACAGGAAGGCTTCTCTTAAATAGAAATTTTAGTTGCTCACTATCCTGTTTTGGACTTGTTGAAAGCAGCTTGGCAGAGTAGGAAGCTCCAGCATTCAGCCTGCTGCTGGATGTTGCCTCTGCCTTGGATTAATTTGTAGGAAAAAGTTGCAATGTTTCCTGGTTCAGCTACTCCCAATGTTCTTACCTGACACTTTGCATGGCCAACACATGCATCACATCCAGTGTTCCAACACCAAGGCAGCTGCTTCTAAACGCCCACAACACAAACACACCATACAGTAACTACCTGCTAGCTTCTTCTAACTCTATGAAGGTACCAGACAGCAAACAGCTGTAGCTCCCTGTCTCACCAGTGATCTGAGGTCTGCTGGTCACACAAGCACTGTTTGTGTAGGCATCCTTCTACTGGGACTTTGGGATATCAGCTCAGTTCCAGGGCTCACTTTGATCCTGCCAGCAGTAGCCCATTAAGTCCATATCCTGTTGCAGCCCTACTGGCTTCAGTCCCACAGAGAACAACAATGCAGCCTCCAGCTGTGGACAAGGATAATCTACAAGGAAAGCACTAAGAAGTTGGGCACCCAGTGCTGTTAAGCCCAGGAGATGTAGGAGAAACTGGCCAGTGAACTCTACAGAACATTCAGTCCTTTGCTAATTGACAGTAATGCCTTCATATGCTGCTCCACCTGTGCTGTTCTTTGCAGCAGTTGAACAGTATCCTAAGCACCTCAGTGGGACAAGCTTTGGTCCGACAAACTCACTGCTTTCACAACAGACTCCAGTTCCCACTTAACTGAAGCCACATCCCCTCTGCCTCACAGTCACCACTACCAAAACTACTGCAAAGCTGCTGCTGTAAGAAGTGTTCTGGGATGAAGGAGACAGGATGCTGGCCTAGGAACGTCATGAAACATCCCAACCAAAGGGATGTCTCTGCTTAACAGGCTTTTTTCAGTAGTTTCCTTTACTTCTCACCTAGTATAGTTCAAGCTGTGCCACTGTTCCCAGTGCTGTCCCTACATGGGGAACAAGCAAGGAGTTTCTTTCACTGCCTCTCCTGCCAAGCTTTGCAAGCACCCTGTGCAAAAATAAAACCAGGACTAGCATCTCCAGCAGCAAGGGAAGAACAGCTGTCTGCAAACTCAGCAGCACTGACCCCCAACAAGCTCCCATCCAGACAAGCAGTCAGCACGTGCTAACAGGGACATGGGCCAGGCACACGAGGATGCATGCCAAGAGGCACATGTGAGACTCACCAAAGAGAGCAGACGAGTCCTTCACTGGACAGAGATTTGGTTTCTTGTTTTGTGCTTTGTTTAAGGGTTTCAGAGCCTGTGATCCCATCAGCCAGTTCTCCAGGAACCTGGCTCCTTTCCCTGAGCCCACCCTTATGCTCTTCACTTGCCACCTGCAGAGGGGCTGCTGGGGGTTCCGCAGGATGCTGCTCTCCCCAGACATCACCTGACAATGCCACCAGCACCGAGTTACACACTGATTCATGCCGGTAAGTGGAAAGGAAGTAAATCACTTTATAACAAAAAGGGACTAACAAAAGAAAAGTTATAATGCAAAATTACCGACACAAACCCCCCCTCCCACCCTTCCCATGACAAAAAGCCCAGGAATTAGACTTTCTTGGGACGGCGTCCAACTTGGTAATAATAATAAATGCTGATGAGAACAAAGAAGACTCGGCTGACCAGGAGGAGTACAGCACCCGTGGCCATTCGGCTGCTCTCAACCAGGGAGACGGTGGTAACTGGAAGAGAAGGAAAGAACTCAGGCAGAGAAAGGTAGAGGAAAACAAACTGAGTGACACATCCCTGCTTGCTACTGCCCTCTAACGTAGCTTCTTGGAGAGACCTGCTGAGCCTTGGGAATGCAAAGGCTTTCCACCTTCACACATGCAGCAAACCTGCAACACAAGTGCTTAGGTAGATTGATTTCACAGCCTTAACATAGCTACAGGTACACAGGGCTCCCATTAATAAGGGCACTTCTCTAAAGTTAGCTCTGTACAGACACAGTCAGCAGTCTGATGCCTGGACTCAAGTGTTAACCTTGGGATCTATTCTTAAGCTTGCTGTGTGGTTCAACCTCTTCAGTGCTGATAAATACGTAGAAGCACCCATAAGATGTGCATGGCCCACTCCCAGTTTCCTGAGCATCTCTTTTCTGTTAAAAATACAAGCTACTTTATAACGCAATTAGTGAACTGCCAACACACAATACAAAAAACCTTCAAGTACTAAATATAGATACGCTCCCCAAAAAACAAGCTGAGCTACGACCCTCTGTTTTGGTAAGACTGGAATTCCCTCCCTTTTTATGTAGGTTACCACAGCCTCCTCTGGACAGACCCAACATCTCAGCAACCCTTCCAGGAGGTGACCTGTGCTGACTACAAAGGCCAGGATGTTCTAGGGTAGCAATTGGATGAATTGGCAAATAGATCAATTGGCATCTTCCCTTTACCTGGGCTCCCTCTGGTGAGCAGCCGGAGGCAGGGGAATGAAAAGGGAGAGCAGCTGACAGAGAAAATGTCTCCAGAGACAGTTTTAATCTCTGCCTTGTCTGGTAGAGCAAAGAAGCCCTCTGTAATGCTGGCTAGACTCAGCACAGGGACAGCTGAGCGTGGGGTGCTAGGTACAATCCCTCTCCCTGAGCTAGAGTCACAGCCCACACCCAACCCCATGCTTCTTCCTCCAGTCTCAGCTGCTCACCCAGGAACTGCACGGCAAAGTAACACGCCTCTGTCAGCAGGGTCCAGCGGATGATGACTTTCTCAGCCGTGTATAGAGCGTTCCACATGATGAGCGAGATGCCTGCCGATCAAAAACAGCACAGCTGCTCCTAGGGCCAGGAAACACCAAGACAGGGCAGCCCACCCGCCTGCTCCAGGTGAAGCGTTTCAGCACCCAGGGGCTGGATGCACGGGAAGCAGCACTGCCAGCAGCTGTGCTTCCCTTTGCCCATTGTGGCGGCTGCACTTCCAGCCATCCCCACGAGATGCTGCTGTAGCCTGCAGGAAGCAGGCAGCCGCCAGCCCACCTATGTGAGGGCTTCCCAGCCCTGCTGCCTGCCTTCCACCCCAGCCACCTCCCCAAGCACACCTTGCCAGCACCCAGCTGCCTTTTTGCATCAGGCACCACAAGTTGACAGCCTCTAAAAGGAGGCTGGGTGAGTGCCCAGCAGCTGTATTGCCTGGTAGTGCAGCTCACGAGCACAGCAGTCACAGGATGCCATTGTGAATGGGAACTGTTGACTCACAGCCTAAACCACTGATTGAGCACCTGGGAAAAGGACCTCGTCAGCCCCAGGAGCACAGGTGAAGGCAATTCAGCTGTGTGACCTGAAGGGGTGGAGCCTGGCTGCACCTCTCAGACCTCACTTAGGGGCTGATGGCCACTAGGAAAGAATCTCCAACCAGAGATCCTTCCCTTGCAGAGTTTTCCATGGAGTCTTGTTCTTCAGAGCTGGGTGAGCACTTTCACTTTGTAACACTATTCTATTAGCACTAGTCCCTTTGCTACTAAGCTCCTTATGCTCCTGTACCTTATAGTATACTATAGTGTGTTGACCTTTCTGATTGTAACAAACCCTCTGCCCTTTTTCCCCTCCTGCCCTCTCACCCTACTGCTCCACACCCAATGCTGGCATAGCACTCACTGAGTAGGGCTCCTCCATAGAGCCGGATGGGAGTCTTGCTGCTCACTGACTCCTCGTTGAAGATGGCATCGTAGAGCTGATCAGGGAAAGCCAGGGCCTGGAGGAGGAATGGGAGAGGCTCAGCAGCACCTTGCCAGCTCTGTCAGAATGTGCTATCTCGGGCAGGGGGAAGTGGTGCTTGATGTGATCAGAGCCCTTGGCCAGGAAACTGGAAATTAAGCAGGTGTGAGAGATAACAGTGTGTCGGCTGCTCACTCTAAGGCCAGTTTCTACGAGCAAGGCTGTCGTGCCGTGTGAGGTTTATGAACCTGCAAATGAAAACAGACTCTGGAAATGGGAACAAACTGCCAAGGGCACTGCTGGCAAAACTCATTGCAGAGTTACAGTGAGGGCAAAGGCCTCTCAGGAGAAAGCAGCGGTGGTTGTAGAAGGCAGAGAAAGGGGTATAAATCGCTGAGGAGCCACACTGTGGCATCTAGGAGCTGGTGGTGCCTAGGCTGCTGCCCTCACTTACCATGATGGCCACCCCGGAAAACATGACGGCGGAAACCAGCTGCCAGACCCTGCATGGAAGACAGAGGACCTACAGTGAGCACAGAGACAAACATATCACTCCTGCTTCACAACACGCTCCTGGCTGTCTGCATGGTTATAGTTATTCTCCATCCTCATGCAGCTGAGGCAGTCACAGGTCTTCTGCACAAGGATGTGGGCCCTCTGCACGCTGTTAGTTCCAGCCTCACTAGCCAGGGAGAGCTGAAATCCCACCCTGCACACACACTGGTTGGGAGCTGGGAAGGGACTTTACGAAGAGGATAGGGAGCACCTCTGGCCCTGTACAGCCCCCACACTTTCCAGCACCTGCTAAGAGACCAGAGCTGATGTCATTCAAGCTGTTCACAGGGGAAGAAAGCAGGACCAGTTTGGCTCTGCAGCCCTGAGATACCCCTGCAGGGAGCAGTGAGGCTATATGGTGCTGGGGACAAGGGCTGGCAGGAAGAGTGGCCAGATGCTCTCTAATGGGCCAGTTCTGAGGTGTGCCTGTGTCTTACCTGAGCCCCAAGGGTTCCCGGACAGCAAACTTGATTTCATTTCCCAGGACTTGACTAATCTGAAATTCAAAGAAAAGGCACAAGGTGACTGAGCAGATGCTTCCCCAGCCTTTAGGCAGCATTTGTCATCCCAGAGGACACACGTTAACCCCAGGTGGGAGTTTATCTTCAAGACGGCTGATAGGAGGACAAAAAAAAAAAAAAAAAAAAAAAAAATTCCTTTACAATCCCTTAGTCCCAAAACCTGCTGAAGACTGACTTGATTTTCATCAGGGTCTGCAGCTTTCACTGCTCCTAACCAGGATCAGTAGGGCTGATGTTAATTAACAGAATGTTAATTTCTGTTTCTCACTACTAGGTAAGTAGGGATCTGCCTCTTCCCACATGTAGCCTGTTGATCCTCACTGATGAACCACCACAGCTGTAGAGGCAGAACTGCTTGCGAATTTACCATAGAAAAGAGGTGCAGGATGATTCGTAGGAGGGCAGGAGCCAGGCAGTGCTCAAGAGAGCACTTGGGACAGGGCTCTTGAGAGATGAGTCCTTACTCTCCATGCTCTGGTATTTTGCTGAAACAGATTGTGCACATTCATTTGCAATTCAGACCTCTTCAGAGAGGCGCCACTTTGTTTCTTGAATCACTGCTGCAATTTGCAGGGCACAGGTAACTGGTATGTGACGAGCAGCATAATTGGCTGAGCTTTGCTCTGCTGGTGCTGAGCTGGATAATGGGTGTCTCAATAATAACATTTCACCAATGGATTAAAACTACTTAAAGGCAGAGCTCAGTTCTTTTACTGTGAAAGGTGTTTTCAGGCAGCTTTTGTGCATCCACCAGGTTACAGCGCCTGGCCCTGCTAAAGGGCAGCAACAATTTTGTTGTGGCAGCCCTTACAGGGCAGAGCTGGTAGACCTGGTTTTGTCATAGAGGCTGCAGAAAATAAAGTGACACGTGCTTTAGTTACCCACTGGAGGGCATTTCACAGATTTGCTGTCTGCTTCCCTGCAGCAATGGCCTCATCACTGCAGGGAACAGCATGGAGCATCCCAGGGGGGGACCAGGGACGTTTCCTACACCACTGGTGACCCAGTGCCTCTCACCTTGGAGCGATGGACCTCGCCATCATCATCCTCGCCACCGACCCCCAGGATCTTGCGTGTCTTCAACCTGCTCACCAGGTCAGTCTGGCTATGCTTCTTCATCAGCGGCGGGGGCTGCTTGGCTGCCATGGTGGTGGGTGGGCCACAGGCCTCCGATCCGCTGCTGGGAGAGCTGAGGGGAGAAGCCTGAGCCACACTGGCTGGGAATGCTGTGGGGCTGGGCCCCACACTTGCAGGGCAGCCTGGGGTACAATTCTCCTGCTGGCCTGGCCACAGAGGGAGAGCTGTTGCCTCCAGCCCAGAGGGCTCACAGCTGCGAGGCTGTAGGAAGTGTTTTCACATGGAATCTCACAGGGTTCAGAAAACAAAAATTTAAAAAAAAAAAAAAAAAAGCACAAAAGCCCTTCTGCTAGGCCAGCAGATGGCTCCTCATCGCCCTGATGCTGAGGTAGGGAGCTGTGGGCTGCCCATCCCAGCTGTGGGGAAGTTGTCCAGGTCTGCAAGGAGGACGGCACAGCTGTCACCACGACCTGCTGGAGAGGAAATAAAGAATCAGCAGTGTGGCCACTGAAGCACCAAATGGGCTGCCCTGCCTAGACGGCCTCTGCCACAGGAGCTGTGTGAGCATGGGCACCATACTGCCATCCATAATGTGCCTTGTGTGCATCCCTATGCACTGAGTGCAGCCTTGAGCTTCACCAGCATGTGCTGTGAGCTGTTCGGACCTAACCAACGTTAATGATGGAAAAGACCACCAAGATCATTAGATCATTTAGTCCACCCAGCAACCCATCGCCACCATGCCCATCAAACAAGGTACGTTCCAGCACAGCAGTGTCTGTGGCCCTTTAGGAACATGGTACCTCTTTGCCTCTTCGCACACTAAGGCAATTAACTGTTGTTAAACATTTCCCAGATGAGAGGAACTGAAGTCATTAAATGATGCTCTGCTTTTTGTCTCTTTCTGCTCACCATGCATTACACCCTCCAGCTCTATCTTGGGCAAAATGCCATGCAGATCTCAGATATTTGTTTGCTTTTCCCCCCCAGACACTGCAGCCCAGTGTAGTGCCAGAACACATCAGCCCTACAGACGCAAGATTCCAGAGGCAAGATCCTCTGTGAGGACATGTTGCTTCCTGGGAAACAAATTTGACGGCAAACAGAGCGCAAATACTGGCTAGGAAAAGACAAGGCAGAGATAACTGACAGAAGCTGAGACAGAAAAGACAACTTCTGAGTAAGTGCGGAGGTGTCAAGAAAAATCACTCTACATCATCATCCAGTCCTAAAACCCAGGAAACTCTTGATTCGTGAAGTCTTGCCTGCTAATTTGTCTTCCTTTCATCTAAACTCAGCCAAACACAAAAATATATTTTCACTTGCCATTTCAGCCCCCAAGAGAGCAGCAGAAAGGTCCCCCACAGGCAGCAGACATGGCTCAGCTGGTCCCAGCAAGCATAGGAATCAAGCACAGGCAATCCTTCATTCCAGTTGCACTTTCTCGTGGCTGTCTCAGGAGAACAGAATTTATGCTCATGTCTAAAGAATTCACGAGTCCTCAGGGACTCATGAAATGAGGTGTCAGTCTGTTGGCATTGTGCATACAAGTGTTCTCCCGCTGTCTTGCAAAGGATTTGCCTCTCAGGAAAATTTCTCCAGTGTTGTCCACTGGAGCAGAGTCACTTCTGCAGGACCTCAGAGCACACTGGCATAACTCTTTGTGATGCAAATCTAAGAGAACTTGCTGGGACAATGTAAAGGCTGAATTCAGTGCTCTAGTATTTAACAAGACCCCTTCAGCAATCCCAGGCAAGATGTTTTTCAGCAAGCCAGTTCAGTTACTCCAGGCTTTGCTTCTTTTGGATTGGAGGGGCTTTTTCTGGTCTAAGCCCAGGTTCCCAGAAGGTCACTGCCTGTAGCAGCCACCGTCTAGAAACACTTAAAAACTGAGAAACAGAAAGAAACTGCAAGCTGTTTTACCCACTCCCACACTGCAGCATAAAGCAAGAAGATCAAAAGGTGACTGCTGGTAGAACAGAGTGGAGGATGCAGTGTCCCAAGTGTGCTGTGATAGCAGCCATTGGGAGTGCCCCTTCACCCCACAGATGTGCTGGGCACCTCCAGCTGCAGGGCTGTGGCCTCTCCCTTCCCTCACACTTTGGTTTTTTACTTTACAAAGAGTTAAAAAAAAAAAAAAGACATCTTCAAATGCAAAGAATCCTGAGGGTGTGACATAAAGGGAGGCAGTGGGGGTTAAAGGGAGAATTTGTAGGCTAAGAGGGATAAATGGCTCTGGGATTACATGGGCAGCCTTGCAATTCTGACCACAGGCAAACAGATCAAAATTTGGCTTCAGCAGTTGCATTGCCAGTTGCCTTCAGGGCGTGAGCTGGTGGAAATGATGATGTCAATAAATTAGCACTGCTCTCCCACGAAGAATTTCCACTAATTTGTGGCAAACCAGTGGCCAAGAGCCGGAACAGCACAAGCCAGCTAAAAATGCCGCTAAAATAATCACTGAAGGCCATTCTGATGCACAAAACCAGGCTCCCACTGTGCTAAGCACAGCTGTGGCACAGCCCTGCAGCCAATGCCACGTCTCATTATCCCCATCTTCCAGGGAAGGAGCCAGTCTAATGAATATTGAATATTAATGAAGAATGAGCTAATGAATGCATTAGTACTAATTCAGTGACATTCAGACAGAAGATGCCGAGGATTTGAACAATGTTACACTTACATTAATGTATCCTGACGCACTGAGAGTTCTGAGGATGTTTTCTATTAGCATACGCGTTTTCAAAAGGGAACCTCCAACTCATCCTGCCTTGATTTTCTCCTCAATCCTCTTTTCCAGTATCCCAGTGGCTGAGCAGATCAATCAGCACACACAGGAAACTCCTATGCACCCCCAGCAATGGGCAACACCTAGTGCAGATGAAAGAGGGCTTCTTTTCTTCCGAGAACTCTTCTCCTCACATGCTCCAGCCACGCATATGACAACATTTCAGCAGCTGGAGCTGCTGGTTTCAGAGCTCCTAAGTCAGTATGCCACAGGCAACCCAAGGTCTTGAGCCCACTGTGATTTGTTGGTGCCACACATTTAACCAAGATGGTGTTATACTCACACAGTGGATGATTCTTTGCTGGAACTCTGACAGCAAACCTGCCATGCCCAAGCATCTTTATTGGCCAAGCAGTTGAAAGCCACCAATTAACACCAAGATGCAGCATTATACCACGCATTTCACAATACCACAGGTTGCCACTGCACCTGCTAGCCCCTGGTGTTCCCCACATAACCTGAAGAGGCATTTCACAGGTGTGGGATCTGAGCCAGGCAAGCAAAACCATGTCTTCTTGTGCCAGGGATACCTGAGTGGGCAGAAACAAAGTCTGGGCTCAAACACAGGGGCACAGCAAAGAAGTGGGTGCACAGATCAGAGGATTCAAATAAGAGCAACATCAGTCAGAAAAGCAAAGATATTGGAAATTGGAAATATTGGTGGAAATTAATATGAAAGTTTTTCTTTTATTTTCCAAGAGACTCATCACCAAAGTATCTCGGTGTCTCACAACCCTGCCTCACTATGGCCCTCCAGCCGAGGGACAGCTGATATCCTTCTCTGGAAACACAAGGAGATTAAAGATGGCATCCACAGAGGTACTCACCACTTTTGCTCCTGCAAACACTTGACTGTTGACTCAGTAAGCAGGATCTAAGACACCCCCTCGCACACAGAAAGGCGCACCATGTTCAGGGGTATCCGTGATGGACCTGAGGCAGATCTCCCCCTGGTCGAGGTAACAACAGAGGTGCAGCCATCTCCATGTTGTGTTTCTGCAGCTGCGAGCCAGCCCTTTCCTAGAGTTCTATCTTAGAGCTGGGATTTGAAATGATTAAGACCTCTCTGCCAGAGCATCACTCTCCCCACTTCCCAGTGGATTTGCTCCATGCCAGCTGCAGCACGTGGCTTTGCACATTCCGGGCTACCAGCAGATCCTAAAACAATAACAAGATCAGTCATGTTTTCTGCTGGGAGGAATACAGAGCAAGCCTTGCCCAAACTGAAAGGTACAGATCACTAGCCTAGCAGAAACACCCAAGTAGTTTCTGCAGTCAGGAAGTCCTAGAGACCACACAGGGTCAGACCTGATCCAGCTGAAAATAATGGGATGCCCAGGCAGTAAGGCAACTAGAACTCAACCATCAGAGCAGTGTGATGGGGCTGCTGCTCCTGCCCAGCCTGGCACAGTCAATACAACCAAGCAAAGAGGCTGCTTCTGTGTGACTTCTCACCCGGAACAAGCCAGGCACACGGGACTCCCATCCCCAGGAGCACCATGAACCAGGGCCCAGCTGTAGCATCAGGAGTGTGTCCCCCAGCTCCTCATTGCCCATAGGCTTCCAATTTCCTCTTGCAGACAGAACAGGAAAGTTTCTTTCTGTGTCACAGGAAGTGTTATACAGCAATCCAAAGCTGCCAAGGGCTCAGTTTCCCCAGCAGAAAATTAAAAAAAGCTCTGTTTGCTTCTCAAGGAGCAATAATTAAATCCAACGACCACAGCCCTGCTGCTCTGCTAACTACCACCTGCAGCAACACACCAACAGTGAGCCCGAGCCATAGGCTCCACCTCAGGCAAGAAATGCTGCTCTGCAGCCAGCAGCAGCATACAGAGTAAGTCCGTGACTCTAGCACACTCAGGCAGAAACCCTGCAGACCCACAGCTACCATCATGCACAGCACCCACATGTGCTGGGGACACAGATAACTTAGACATCATGAGCTGATGACCCCAAGGATTTGAGTGCCATGGGGCACACAGGAGCCAGGAGGATGAAAGAGGAGATGAAATAAGTCAGGAATGGATGCTGTTTTTCTTTAAGGGAATGAAAAGAGAATTCCTCCTTGATTTCCCAGCTGTCTCAGACAGGTGTTTGCAAAGACGGTCCCAGCAGCTCAGTGGGCCATCTGTCCTGCAGATGAGTTCTACAGGGAAGCATTAGAAGGAAAAATAAAACCCTCATGCATACACTGGTTAAAAAAAAGAAAGGAAAAAAAAGGAAGAGAAAAACCAACCCCCCCAGAAAACACATATTGAGCTTAGCTGCTGGAAAAACAGGGCTTTCAAACGTTTCAAAGGTCTATTGTAAAGAAAATCTGTCTGTCATCTCCTCTGTCTCACACCTGAGCAATGAGAGAGGCTCAAAGAAACCCCACAGAGAATAACCCTGGGGGCGGGGAGAAGCCCAGATATACACTGCCTTACCTATGGCAGAGCCACAGCCACGGACTGCAGGATGCTGACATGGGGCTGCTTGCACTTCCACCACCAACCTGAAACCTCAGACTTTCTCTCCATCGTGCCCACAGACTCTCCACAATTTCCATTCATAAACTCTCCATGAAATCGATGCCCTTTGCTCCTAACCATCATCCAGCTCTGCCCCTGTCCAGAACTCAAAAAGGAAATGATACAAAAATTACATTTGGGAATGCTCAGCCCCCTCAGCCACAAAGCAAGC